CCGAGATCGGCAACGACGTGATGAAACCCGGTATCCGAAATGTCAGGTCAAGTTGTCACCAACCTCCCCATGGGAAACGGTCTCTGCAAAGAGGTAGATCCGTCCACGCTGAGCTAGCGTGTTTTCCAATCATCGTTTAGGTGCATACATTATCATTCTGCTCCAACAGCTATGATGTGACGCCCTCGAATATCTTGGGTATGAGGGGTATCATACTGGCTGGCATGCTCATTACTGTCATTTGGTTCTTCGCTGAATGGGTGTTATGGTATGTCGACTTGAATCTACGCAAAGAGAAGGCAGAGGGAATGGCAAGGATGGCTAGAGAGCTCCCTCAGAAGAAAATGTATTTGCGCCAACAAGTGGAAGGCCATTGGAAGGACGAGTTCAACAACGCTACCATAAGCCCAGATGATTCAGCCAGCGGTGGTTCGGTGTGTGTTGTACCACCCATGGACGGGGAGGCCTATGAGGGTATGTCGGACGAGGCGGACATGGAAAGCTACATGTCCAGAGATCCGGCTATGAGGTTTGAGTCGGGAATTTGGAAGAGACGACTTAGTCATTGGAAGACCTGCAAGGCTGCAGCGAAGCGGAGACATCGAATCCGCCAGCTTTTCTATGTGGCTGCTCTCAACATCTTTTTCCTGCTCCTACTTATTGCCACTCTGTATATCGTCCTCTATTACTCCCCTCAGAATATCCTCGCCAACAACAGGTCGGTGGCTGATGATCTCTACGGTGAAGTGTCTATTTGGAATGCACATTCGTGGTTGGACATTCTCATATTCATAGATGTTCTCCTCGATACGTTCTTATTCCTAATTGCATGTGTCTTCGTCAAGTGGCCGCGCGCTCCTATCTACACTCGTCATGTTCAAGACGTGGTTGCAAAGAAGAAGCAGCGTGTCGGCCGTGATGGGGCTTCAGCTGGTTCCTTGAACACCGATGCGAAACCTCAGTTGGTTTACATTGACCGTGATGGCGTCCCGTCTCCTCTGAGTGATGACTTCCTGTCTGATGCCAGTTCAAGCTCAGAGTCCGAGTCAGAGGAGACTGTGATGAAGCAGACGTTGGCGTATGACTGCTGTCTGATGATCGCAAGCCATCTCTCTGCTATGACAGAGGAACGTTATGAAACCTTCACAAGTACTTTACGTGCTGCCCTTATGGTCTTCCCACCAAGTCACATCTTCGTCTGTGATAATGGTGGCACATTACACCCAGAAGATGAGACTGAGTGGGCAACACAGCAGGTTCATCCTGATATCAATTATGTTTACATCCCAGAAGGCAACAAGACATTCGCCTTCTACTGGGTTAACAAATACTGGATACCGTATCTAGCCCAAAATGGCCGAGTTCCCGACTTCAAGTACTCGGTTATGATCGATGACGATGTACCACTACCAGCAGATCTGTACATACCTCACGAACAGCTGAGAGCCAATCCTAATATCAAGGCTGTTCACTTCCCTATTACTGCCACTACCCCTGATGGTAAGCCTGGCATGCTTGTGAAAATGCAGGATGTTGAATACAAAATGGCAGCAGTGCATAAGCTTTTCCAGGCTAAGATGGCTCGGTCTCTATCATGCCATGGTGCTGTGTCATTGTGGGATCGTGAGGCACTCGATGAAGTGTTATACGAGCATGATACTGTGTTCAACGGTGAGGATATGTATATGGGTTTGACACTTTTGAGGAAGCGTGATGAGTCTACGATCATCTCATGTGCTCAAACGATCGTTCCCACGTATGCTCCTGATACCTGGCCAGTGCTCTTCCGTCAGAGGGTCAAGTCGTGGGATCTAACATCGCACAAGAAGACATTCACGTATCTGTGGGAGGTCATCAACCCCCGATCGTTCTGTCATGGTGCATCTTTGGTTCTGAAACCATACTTCCTTCAAGAGCTTCTTTGCATTTTATTGGACTGGTTGCGCGCTTTCTTGCTCTGTGGCTTGCTCTTCCGTGACTGGCTTGGTCTCATTCTAATGACTCTTGTCTTTACTGCTCTCCTCTACGTTCAAGTTCTTATCTTTGAGGTCTTCGTTCTCCGTGATCGGCATGATCTCAGATCCGGCGTGATTGATTTTATTCTGT